AGCGATCCAGCCCCGTTAATTGGCTGCGCGGGCTCTCCGGGGGCTCCAATGGCGGCTGCAGTCCCCCCGCCCCGCCAGCAGGCGGCGCCACCCGCCCGGCGCATGCGCGGTGCCGCGGCTCTTCCCGCCCTGCGCGGCCCCTCAGCGCCGCCCGCCATGTTCGCGGAGCTCAACGAGCTGCTCGGGGCCTCCCCGGAGCGGCCGGACGCGGTGAGAGGGCGCTGAGAGGGCGCTGAGAGGGCGGGAGGGACGGGCCGCGGCCGCCGGGAGCGGCGGGGAGCGCTGGGAGGGGCACGGGCGGAGGCGGCGGCCGGTCCCAGAGCTGAGCCGCCCTTAGCCCCTCCGCCTCCCGTTCCCGGCTCCCCGCTGCTCCTCACGGCTCTGGCTCCGGCATCGCCGCTGAGAAGTGGCCGAGCTCTGTTCCCGCGGTGTGTCCGTGCTGCCGTGCGGGGAATAAACACAGAACTGGGCCTTAAACCCGCTGCTGGGCACTGCTCCAGGCCGGGGAGCTGTTCTAGAGATACTTGTCTTTTAGGACACTGAATTAATTAATGTAGCTTTCCCAGGGAGGTTTTATGCTGTTGAAGTCATGCTGCAACTAAACCCCCTCGCTCTCTGTGAGAGCTGTGCAGGTAAAATGCCAGTCATGGAATCCCAGAGTGGCTGGGGCTGGAAGGAGCCTTAAAGCCCATCCAGTCCCGTCTCCTGCCATGGCAGCGACACCTTCCACTGTCCCAGGCTGCTCCAAGCCCTGTCTGGCCTGGCCTGGGATGCTCCCAGGGATCCAGGGGCAACCACAACTGCTCTGGGAATTCTATTCCAGGGCCTGCCCACTCTCTCAGGGAACAGTTCCTTCCTAATATCCCATCCAGCCCTGCCCTCTGGCAGTGGGAGCCATTCCCTGTGTGCTGTCCCTCCAGGCCTTGTCCCCAGTCCCTCTCCAGCTCTCCTGGAGCCCCTTCAGGCCCTGCCAGGGGCTCTGAGCTCTCCCTGGATCCTTCTCCTCTCCAGGGGAACATTCCCAGCTCTCCCAGCCTGGCTCCAGAGCAGAGGGGCTCCAGCCTTGGAGCAGCTTGTCTGTCATCCCTCCATCCATCCATCCCTCCATCCATCCATCCCTCCATCCATCCCCCTGTCTTTGCTGATTCTGGGGATTGTCCTGACCCAAGTCCTGACCTTGCCCTTGCCCTTGTTGAACCTCATGAGGTTCCCACTCCTTCAGCTTCTCCAGGTCCCTCTGGACTCCCCGTCCCTTCCCTCTGGTGTGTGACCACACCACCAGCTCAGTATAATCAGTAATTATTTATAAATTATATGTTGCTGTGTGTTACTCCGGTTTTTTTTCTGACAGTTACGAGCTTAGATAATAAAAGCAAGTTTGGGGTGATAATTTATTTTACAAGACTGAGTTTCCCCCTTTGTCTCCACTTTCCCCCCTTGCCGTCCTACCAGCCTGTGATGGGAATAGGGGAGGTTTCTCCTGGATCTGGAAGATAATTCTGAGGTCATTCCTTGTCAGGTTGGCTGGAGTGGGGCAGTGCTGGTCTGATGGGGAACCAATACTGAGGAGAATTTGGGATGGTGCCCTTGAGGCTCAGAGCAGGTCTGGTGGAGGTGTTGGCTGGGGCTTGGTGGTAGTAAAGGATAGTCTGAGTGTGCAAAATCCCTTGTGGTTCCTATGGGTTGTGTTGGGTTTTTAATGCAGGTGGAACACGAAGTGAGAAGTGCTAAGTGGAGTTTGTCAGCCTGTGCTCTAAGGTGTGTTTGGTGGTGCAGCTGTGGGATGGGCAGGAATGCTGTCATCCACGAGTTTGGCTCTGAGGTGAGGAGCTCACCTTGATGTGAACAGGGAATTCCACACAGCAGAACCAAAAGGTTTTGGCCTCAAGATCCTGGGTTTGGACTTGGCAGGCGGAGCAGGAGCCGAGCTGGCGTCCTCCGTGTGAGGAATTCCCTGGATGGAGTTGTCCCTTCCGTCCCACCATGCAGGCTCCCCTTTGTCAGGGTCACACCGGCGTGGCTGCCTGCCCTCCAGGGAGCCTGGCTTAGCGCCCTGCAGTCCTCATGGTATTAAATGTGGTGTAGTCTGGTAGTAAATTATGAGTGTGTGTGTGTGTGTGCAAATGTCCCTGAGTGTCCCTGATGGTGTTCTGGGATGCCCAGTCTGTGTAACAGCAGCAGCCCTTTGCAGCCCTCTCCTGCCATCCCGGTCTCCACAGCTCCCCGGCTGCCAGCCGTGTCCCCGGAGCCCTGCTGGCTGCCAGGAGCTGCTGTGGCTGTGGGTGTATCTGCTGTGTCACCCTGGGGTTGTGACACCCGCTGCTGCCCCTCCGAGCCGTTTTGGCAGCTCCTGACAAGTCGCTGCAGCTTGTGCCTCATAGCCTGCAGGTGTTGGGAGTGTGAGGGCAGAGCAGGTTCATGGAGGAGATTTTACAGGAAGGCTTTGCCTTTGGAACAGCAGGATGCCATGTGCCCAGAGTGACAAATGCCCCCGTGCCAGCACAGCCTGGGGGAACACTCAGCCTGCTCTTCCCAGGGCTCTGCTGGGGAGCAGGGGAGCTGGAGGGGATCAACCCTGAACATCCTGGTTTGTGCTGTTTGAGCACAAATCTCCTGCAGGCTCACGGAGGACACGTCTTGGGGCGGTGTCCCTGTCACCGCACTGGGCACTGAGGCATTGCCCTTTTTTGGGGGGAAGAGCTCTCGCTCAGGCTGAGGCAGAGCAGCTTCCCTGCCCTGGCCTCTGCTTTGCATTCCCTGCAGTCATGTTCAATATTTGCCGTGCCATTCGCTCCGCTTCAGCCTTTAGGCACCGGGGAGTTTGTTCTGATGGATGGCTTGGGAATTGCCTGTGCCGAGATGGCTCGTTGCTGCAAAAGGCTTTTTCTGTTCTTGGGAGTAGAAAAACTCCCTTTTGATAAGTTCTTTGTGTTTCCAAGCAGCTGGTCTATGATTTGTATTGATTAAAGAAACATCCTGACTACGATTTTAATGGAAACAAACACCTTGATGAGGCTGGGGCTGATCAGGAGTGTGCACTAATGAACGGAATTAATTTCCTGCCTGATCAAAACAAGGTTTATACCTTGTGCTGAGAGCTCTGCTGCACTACAGAATTTTGATGATGAGCTTTTCTACCCCAAAGTGGCCATGTTGGAAGTAAACCTGGAAGGGAGCACAGGGAGCGTTGTTTGGGCACAGGAGGAGCAGCAGCTCTGGCGGTGCTGACATTTTAAACGCACTGACAGTGCTGGCTGTGGCACAGAATGGAGCGAGTGGCTGTTTGTTCCCCTGCCACTTGGAGAAGAAAGATGCCTGTGAGTTGGAGGAGAGGGGCACAGAGCTGGGAGGTGGAGACTGCCCAGAACCCCCGTGATGGTGTCCAGCACCACATGTGGTGGCACCGGGAGCACCGTGCCGCACGTCTCTTGTTTCCAGGGGAGGGGGTGGCACCTGCTGGGCACAGGCATGGGGGTCCCGCTGGGCTCACAGCTGAGCACAAGGGCTTTTAGCTGGTAAACGTGTGAGGACGTGGTTCAGCGGTGAGCTTGGCAATGCTAATGGCAGGGTTAATGGTTGGACTGGGTTAATGGCTGGACTTGGTGAGCCCTGAGGGCTTTTCCAGCCTTAGCAATGCTGTGGTTCAGGTGCCTCCCCGTGGGCTGTGTCGGGAGGAAGTGTTGGCTTCCTTTTGTAAACAGGCAGCTGCAGCTCTGCTTGTCCACTTCTTCCTGTGAGTAGTAGCTACAGAATTCCTGCAGCTTGAGCCAACATGTTGTCTACCAAGAGCAGTTTGTGCCCTCACCTCACTCTGTTATTTTGCTGCTTCTTTTCCAGGGTAAATTCACGCTGCTGCGAGACACCCGCACAGATGGCAGCTTCCTGGTGCACCACTTCCTCTCCTTCTACCTCAGAGGTGGGTCAGCAGCTGCACTCTGAGGCAGGGACACCTCGGAGCCTCCCTCTGGGGTGCTCCATGAGCAGAGGGCAGTTCTGCAGTGAGGTAACCTCAGATAAACACAAAGCTTTGGGGTTAGCATTCATGGATCCTAGTCCTGACTTGTTCTTGGGACTCCTCTGTATCCTTGGGTACATCCCATAATTCTGAGCCTTGGTTCATCATGGATTGTGGCGATGGTTCTAAGTCACACAGGCTCTGACAGGGAGGTGTTCACTGCAATTCCCTCAATTTTAATGAGGTAACTACACATATCAGGATCAATTAGCAACAGATAAGCTCAGAGTGAGTCAAGAAACAAGCAGAGCTTGGTGAGGTGTCTGATTCCTTTTCTGGGAGCAGTTTCCCCTGTCAGTAACCTCCTGGCCCCTGCAGAGCAGTGCTGGACTCGGGGACTCCTCCTTTCTGCTGGCACAGCCACCAGCCCAGCAACTCTGGTACTGCCAGGCCTGGGCAGGACATGGCATGGAGACATTGTGCCCCCACAACTGCCACTGCCCCACCTGGGGCTCTACCCTGCTTTGGAATGGTTTGTACTTAATGGACCAGAGGGAAATGGGAGGAAATCCCATGGGCACTGTGTTGGTGACAGTGTGAGTGGTTCAGAGAGACCTGCCAGCCACTGCCTGGGCTCTGCTGGTGTCCTGCCCCACAGCAGTGCCCTGGGGGCTGTCCAGAGCTGCCTGTGTGCCTGGGGAAAGCCTTCCATCCTGGTGGCTGGGCAGCCCTGTGGGATGGTCATGTGTCTCCAGCCCAGGACCTGTGTGCAGATATTCCCTGCCTGCAGCACCCCCATGTTGTCCACTTGGTGCCCAAAACCTTTGGGAGATCTCAAGGTTCATCTCAGGCCATTGGCTTGTTCCACTTGAAATCCATGTCCAACAAACACTGATTATGTTCATACCCAAACTGTGTTCCAAAATCACTTATTTAGGTGTCTGACACAATTCCCTGTTCTGTGTGTTTTTCCAGTCAAGGTCACTTGCCCTGTCAGAGCCAAAATGGGAATTTTTGGCATGTTTGTGGTTTCAGTAGTTCATTGTCATGGCCAGCCCTTGGCCCCCTTACTGTAACACCAGCAAACAGGGCTAGAAGGTTCCAGGCTGGCCTGGCACGAGGCAGAAAAGAGGCCTTACACTTCATAAAGTCATATTTTTCCATCTTTCCCTCTCTTTTTAAACTAACATTTCCCCTAATGCAGATATCCTCCAGAAGGGTGAAAATTGAAAGCAAACTGTGTAGACCTGCATCACTTCAAGGTCCTTCCAGACAGATCTGTGGCCTGTCTGCTGTGATTTATGAGCTTTGATAATGCCAGCTGCAGAGTGGAACTGCTAATGTGTGCTTTTGTCCCTCCCCAGCTGGCTGCAAGGTTTGCTTTGTGGCCCTGCTCCAGTCCTTCAGCCACTACAGCATCGTGGCACAGAAGCTGGTGAGTCTCTTGGCATAGGTTCATTATTACAGGTCCAGGTGCTTTCTGTTGGGGGAGCAGGAATGGGAATGGGGAACAGGAATTAATGTGGGAGCAAATGTTTCCAGGTCTTGGTGGGGACAGTCAGCATTGGTGCTGCTGTGATGGGGGATAAAGAGCTTTGCCAAGAGCTGCTTGCTTTGTGCTTAGAAATGTTTTCTGGGGATCAGCGTTCCCCAGACAGGCCCACACTGGTAGATGGAGGTTCCTTAATCCCCTGGAGAGGAAAATGCTGTGGTGGCAGTGTTCCCAGGACCCCTGCACACCTGCAGGAGCTCCTGAGGTGACTTTGTTCCCTGTCCTCTGGTTCCTGTTGGCATGGAGGACTGAGTCACAAGGACACCTGTGTGCCTCTGGGCTGAGGCATCCCTTGGAGCTTTGTGAGGAGCCCCAGGTAAATTCCTGGGGATTTCCTTTCTGTGGTGAGCCGGGCAAGGATTATGTGTACTCTGAAATGAGCGAACAGAGACAAAGCAGGCACGGTAATTCTGCATGTCAGCAAATTGTGTGAGCTCCAAACTGCTTCCCTCAGCTCTTTGTACAACACTGCAAGGTGAAATGCTCCAGGTGGGAAGTCCAGGTGACCTTCCAGGGCTGAAGGGATGAGGGCTTGCACTGCACTGGTCCTCCCTGCTCTGGTTCTGCTGTGAATCCCTGCTGCTCATAAAGGCTCCCAGGTGTTGAGGAACCAGCTGCTGTATTCCCCACTGTAACACGGTGCTGCTAAACAACTGTATTGTATTTACTGCTCAGATTTTACCTTTTGGAAGGGGATGAGCAGCCCAGGGTACAGGCAGTGTGGGCTGAGCAGACACGGTGCTCCCCCACGGAGCTGTAACTCGCAGGTGGATCCTCAAGGTGTGATTCCCCTGCAGACAGGATCCCCCCGAGCACGGAGCTGCCCTGGCCTTTGCGGTGCAGACAGGAGGAAATGGTGGAGGGAGCTCGCTGAGTGGGGCACAGCAGGCGGTGTGGGGAGGAAATGCCGCTGGTTAAATACGGGCTCATTGCCTGCTCCTGGAGCCCGTGTGTTCCCTCATGCAGAGATCTCCCTGCACACTTAACGGGAGCTGCTGAGGAGGGAGAGAACAGGAGCATGAGCTGCAGGCACGTGCGATGCAAATGGAGGCGATTTGCTGTCTGATACTTGAACAAAAGGTGGCTGCCACAAAGGAGGCGATAAGCACAGCTCCCAAACGCCTGAGCTGCTTTCAGCTCTGAGTCACTCCTGCCATGCAACTTCATAGGTGCCCCTGGGGTCGTTGCTGTGAATTCCTCCCAAGCTCTGAGGAGCTGGAGGTCGCACCATCGGTTATTTATATCCGAGTTCCCATCACATCTTCTGTTCGCTTTAATCCTTCTTTGCACAGATGAACACGTCAGGCTCAGAAAAGGTGGTTCCTGGCAGGGTACTTTCACTCTTAAATTTGCTTAAGAACTTGCTGCTGTAGATCTTTACTGGAGAGCAGTAATGGTGTGGCCACAGGCCCAGGGCAGTGCCCATCCCCTGTGCTGGCACTGCTGAGGCACCTCCAGTCCTGGGGGCAGTTTTCTGGTCCCCAGGTACAGGACAGAACGTGTCCAGGGAAGGGAAGGGAGATAGGAAGGGTCTGGAGCCCCAGGAGAGGCTGAGGGAGCTGGGAAAGGGCTCAGCCTGGAGAAAAGGAGGCTCAGGGGGGGCCCTTCTGGCTCTGCACAACTCCCTGACAGGAGGGGACAGTGGGGGGGTCGGGCTGTGCTCCCAGGGAACAGGGACAGGAGGAGAGGGAACGGCCTCAGGATGGGCCAGCAGAGGCTCAGGTTGGATATTGGAAAAATTCCTTCCTGGAAAGGGCTGCCCAGCCCTGGCACAGCTGCCCAGGGCAGGGGTGGGTGCCCATTGGTGAAGGGATTTAACATTCATGTGGATGTGGCACTTGGGGACACGGTCAGGGGTGGCCTTGGCAGTGTTGAGGGAATGGCTGGACTGGAGGGACTCAGGAATTTTCCAGCCTCAGTGATTCTGTGACTGTGATGATGCCATTAGCAAAGCCAGCATGTGGAAGAGCTTCAGAGCTGAGCAATGCCCCAGTTCCTGCTGGGAGCAGGGTGGTCCCAGGCCCAGGAGGAGGCTCCTGGAGCCAGGGTGGATTGCACAGGGACACAGTAGCACTGGTGTGTGGTGATAAAATGAATATTTATACACAGCTGAAGTGATGCTTCCAGGGACTTGTTGCTTCCCCAGTGTGCCAGGTATTACAAGTCCCAAAACACTTCCTTATGTTTTAGCTAAATGCAGGGATGTATCTTTACATGCAGGAAAAAACTTCCCTGGCTTTTTGTGCCTGTGTCCTCTTTCCCTGAGGACTCACACTTCATCTTAAGGCCCCATCGATGTTATTGGCCCTGACCTTGCAGAGAACATGCAGGGCTATATCAGGACAAACAGCACCAGGGCACCCTGCCAGGTTGGTGTTCCCACCCTCACTTGTACAAAGTTTGTTTTGTTTTACAGGGAAACCAGATTTGTCCCCGTTTGATGCCTGTCTCCTGTTCCCTGCTCTGAGCTCACAGCCTGGCCTGATCACTGCTGGCCCCGCTTTGTCCCCCAGCTGTGTTTGCTGATGGAGCTCATTCCCCCTGCTTTGCACACTCCATTCCTTCTTGTGTCCCTCAGATATTTTGCTTTCGTGTCTGGAATGGCGGCAGCTCTGCTCTGAGGGGCTGTCACTGCTGGCAGGCCGGGGGGCACCAGGCTCAGGCAGCTCCCCGGAGGGAGGGACAGGAGCAGCTGAGCTGCTGCTGCAGGAGCATTCCTGGGCTGGGTCGATGGCTGTGCCGGAGATAATGTCCCTGTGCTCCAGGGGATGTGGCACAGAGTGAAAGCTCTCAGGCTGTTTGGGTGCTGGGCTCTGCTGTGGGGACGTCAGTCCTGTCTGTGCACTCAGCAAGGTGCCTCTGGCCATTCTGAGCACTTCTCCCACTTTCCCAAGCTGTCTGATGCTTCTGTGCTGTTTGCAGAGGTCACACAGGGTGGGCTGCTGGCAGGGACACAGGCAGAGGTTTGCTGTGGCACCTGGGTGAGTTCAGGTCTCTCTGGGACCTGTCCTCCTGCTGGAAAATGAGGCTCCATGCCATGGCCCTGAGGGGGATGGTCCCTGGCTGCTGTGGCCCTCATCTGTCAGCCAGGCAGGCCCTGCTGTCACAGCACTGAGTTCCCTTCTGAAGAGGGGACGCTTTCCTTGCAGATCTGAGGTACAGAGAGTTTGTGTGTGCAGGAAGAAATGGCTGAAGCAAAGGTAAAATCCGTTGCTGAATTTCTGATATTAATAGTGAATTTCATCACAGCATTTCAGCAGGTTCCCAGTCCTATGGATTGCAGAAATCCCTGGGGGAATGAGGTTTGTGAGGCTGCTGTGCAGCCCAGCCCTTCTTTATGGCATGGCAGGTATTTATTTGTTGGCTATTCCCTGCTCCTCACCTGCCAGATAAAGGTGGTTCTGTCCTTGGCTGGGAAGATTTCCATTGTGTGTGCTCGGAATTGCCCAATAATGCTGCTATTTCTGAAGCTGTTACTGAGGGGCAGTGCCCAAAAAAAGCTATTGCTTTGTAGGGGAGATTGAAAAGGGAATGAGCATTCAGGTATACATCCCTTCCCAGCTGAGTAGAAGGAAAATGGAGAAAGCATTCTTCTCAGGTTGCAGGATTCACAGGGAGAAGAGGCAGCTTTCATTTAAAGCAGGTGGCAGTTCAGTCAGGCCTCAGATTATTCTTAATATCCATGTTACAAAGTGATAGTGCTGCAGAATTGAGCCTGGGAAGGTAATCGTGGAATGGTTTGGGTCGGAAGACACCTGAAAAGGTCACCTGGTCCAATCCTTCAGGAAATAATTGTACTGCACACTATCATGGAACCCCTGAGGCTGGAAAGGCCCTCAAGGATCACTGTGTCCCCCTGTCCCCCAGCACTGCCAAGGCCACCACTAACCCAAGTGCCACAGCCACAAGGCTTTTAAAGCCCCCCAGGGATGGTGAGTCCTGCACTGCCCTGGGCAGCCCCTTCCAGTGTCTGACCACCCTTTTTGAGCATAAACTGGAAAGTGAGAAGGTCCCCTCTGAGCCTCTCTTGTCCAGGCTGAGCCCCCCGGCTCCTTCAGCCCTTGGCAGGGCTTGGAGCAGCCTGGTCCAGTGGAAGGTGTCCCTGCAGAGGGATGGAATGGATGATCTTTAAACATCCCTCCAACCCAAACCTTTCTGGCATTCTGTGATCTCCAGCTGGAGTCTGCTCCGTGTCTGCAGCAGCTGTGGGATGTCTCTGTTGGAGCTGGACATTCCCACATGTGGCTCTCATTGGCCTCGCCACCAGGCAGGGCTGTGAGCCAGCTGAGTTTGGGTCACAGCCCCAGGCATTGTCGGGGTCCTTCCTCCTCCTGCAAGTGCACTCAGGGCTGCTCCCTGTGGGAGCCCTGGCTGCTGTCCCCAGGTGTTGTGGGAGCCCTGGCTGCTGTCCCCAGGTGTTGTGCAAGTGTGGGATGCCCAGCCCACGGTGCTCTCTGGATCAGGGATCAGCTCAGCTGCGTGGGCTGTGCCAGGAGCCCTCATTGCCACAGCCTGATCTGGAGATAGTGAAAACAAAAGCTTTCACCTCCCAGGGAGGGAGGTGAAGGAATTGCTCACAGCAGGCCCTTGGAGAAGCCATTCTCTCCCTGCCTCTGCACACCAGGCTGGCTTCCCAGCAGGAATTCCAGGATGTTTGAGCCCCAAGATCACAGTGTGGTTTTGTTATCTCCTGGCAAAGTACAGAAGAGTGAATGTGCCACCAGTGACTGTAGCAGAAGTGCCCATTTCATCCCTGAAGCACTGACTTTATCTGCACGTTTAGATAAGATTTGATTCAAACAAGCATGAAAATTTGGCTGTTGACCTATGTGGTTCTGTGTACACCATTTTCCATAAGTGTTCACTCTCTAATGTTTTCTTCTCTCGAGGGAGTCAATCTGGCAGCTGCCAAGGAGCAGGGACAGCTTGTCTTCCTGGAGGGCCTCAAGTCCTGCCTTGATCTCCTGTTTGGGGAGGAGGAGCAGCCTGGACAGCCCAGTCCTCTGCAATTCCTGAGGTGAGCCTGAGCATGGCGTGTTCCCCCTGCACAACTGCTGCCACCAAGAGCACCACCCAAGGTCCAGGACTGGCTCCTGCTGCCCTTGGAGCTCCCCTCCAAGGCCCAAGGACTCAGCTGAAGTGAAGGGAAACACCAGCATTGTGCACATCCCCCTAAGTGTCCTGGCCTGTCCCTCACTGTGCTCATGGAAGAATCCTGTCCCCCTTCCCAGAATTTTAGGAGAGCTTCCACCCCCGTCCTCATTGCCAAGCATGTCACAAGTCTGGAAAAACGTGTATTTCAGTGCTCCACAGGTTTGTGTCAAACAAAACCCCAGCCAAGTGGTTTTATTCCCTTCTTTCATTATTTTGAGTTTTATCCAAGAGAACAGTGCTGCTTTATCCATGCTGGATTCTGGGTTTATTCTCACATCATTTTCTCCATGTCACCTGGGAAGCTCAGCAAAGGACAAACCCTTCCCCAGCAGCGTCCCAGGCCAGGCTGGACAGGGCTTGGAGCAACCTGGGATGGTGGGAGGTGTTCCTGCCCGTGGCAGAGAGGTGGCACTGGATGGGCTTTGAGTTTCCTTCCCACCCAAACCATTTTGGGATCCAGTGAAAACTAAAACAGACCTGGACAGAAGCTATTGGTTTTAGCAAAGATAATCCTGGTGTCACTTCTGTTCTGACTGGGACTTCTTCAGGTGTTTCCTCCTTACAAAGAGGAGTATTTTTCCTCATTTCTTCATTCCCAGCCAAACCACTCCACAATCCGTGGAGCTGGGCAGGAGGTGTAAAGGAGCAGGGGCTGAGGGGCAGCGAGGAGGTGACTGTCACAGCAGTGGGGACAGGCTGGTGATCCCCCCTCGGGGTCAGTGGGTGGGCAGGGGGACACGGTGGCCAGCCCCCCTGACTCCTGGTTCATGTCTTGCAGCGGGAGCAGCCGTGACCTGCGGGCCCTGTTTGACTTTGTGCAGGTGTCCCTGACTCCCTGTGCCCGTGATTCCTGGAAGGGCCCCGTGCTGCTGGTGGATGACCTCAGTGTCCTGCTCAGCCTGGGAGCTGCACCTGTGGCTGTGCTGGACTTCATCCACTACTGCCGTGTGTCCGTGTGCTGCCAGCTGCAGGTACTGCTCCCCTGTGCACACAGCCTCCAGAGCAAAGCCTGGCTTGCTTTTCTTACCTCACCATGATGAGGTTTTTGAAAGGCTGTGACTGTCCAAGGAGTTCAGATCACTGCTTTGGGGCCACTCTTGGGAGTTGTGTGGTACCTGTGCAGGCTCCTGTCCAGCCGGGTTCCTGTGAGATGCTGCCCAGAGAAGGGTTCTGTGTATCTCTGGTGTATGAACAGGGATTCGAGGTGTCAAACAGTTTTTTTTGGAGCTCCTGGCTCTCCAGAGATCCTGACTCACACCCCTGTGTGGGAGGGAAGGGGTGGAAATGAGTCACGTGAGTCTCACAGGGGACAGAATTAAAGACCTCTTGGGGGGCACCTGGTTCATGCTGCCACCACCCTCCACTATGGCTTCTTCAGCTGGTCTCCAAGATGATTTACAGAGCTCTCCCAGCCATGTGGGGACTCCTGAGAACGTCACAGCCACAAGTGCTCACAGTCACATCCCAACTCTGCCATCACAGGCAGTGTCCCCTCCCTGGGCACTTCCCTGCAGGAGTGAGGAATGAGCCAGTGGTGTCACCCTGCACTTCACACGGCACGGGCTGTTGGGCTGTACGTGCTGCCAGGGGATGAGCTGCTTGCAGAGAATATTTACCTCCAAAGAGCTAAAAAAGATGATAAACCACGCTCACACTTTGCTATTTCTGTCTGAGGTGTTCTGAAGCTTTAAAGTACATTTTAATTGATTGAGAATTCGTGTTATTTTAAGTCACTGGTGACTTGCATGGGCTGAGGCAGAGTCTCTTGAGGTGGATGTTAATAGAGTCGGTGTGTGGGGGAAGTGTTTGCTCGCTGTCAGAGCTGTGAGGGTGTGAGAGTTGCTGCAGCCCTTTGGCCACCTCTTTATTTACCTGCTGTGGATTCAGTCAGTGCCATCTGCCCAGCCTGACAGACTGGTTCAGCCACTGTCTCCTTACAGAGGTATTTTTAGACTGCACATTACATACGTGTGTGTGTACACAATGTGCAGTGAGCTCTGCAGTGTTCGTGTGTCACAAAATGGCCTGTGGTGGAAGGGACCATAAAGGTCACATATGGGCAGGGACACCTCTGCTTTGGGCCCCAGAGCTGGGGGCAGCTCTGCAGGGGGGGTCTCACCTGAGTGGGGCAGAGAGGCAGAATTCCCCCCTCCCCTGCTGCCCACCCTGGAGATCAGCCAGGGTATGGGGGCTTTCTGGCTGAGGCATGTCCAGCCTCTCCATTAGCAGCTGCTGGTTATTTTCCCAGTGGAATTCAGACCAAGCTGGGGCTTAGATGGGCTCTTCGTGAAAGCTCCTGTTGCCACCCCCCGTGCCAGGAGCTCGTTCCTCCCTGCTGCTCCCGTTCCAGGGGAACGTCGTGGTGCTGGTTCACAGCAGCGAGGATTCGGAAGATGAGGAGAATGAGCTGGTTGTGAACTCCCTGTGTCATCACAGCGACCTCATCCTGTGGGCAGAGGGGCTGGCCACCGGCTTCTGCAAGGATGTTCATGGGCAGGTGAGGCACAGCAGAGCACCGACAGGTGGCACATGTCCCTGTCACCTGCAGCACTGCAGGCCCCGGGGCTGTGGTGTGTTAAGGCGTAATCCCCTGGGCACCAGGACCTGCTGGAGCAGCCGGCTGTCACTGCTTCTGCAGGGCTGTTCAGAGACATCCTGCCACCTGGGCCTCCACACCTCGCACAGCAGCTGCAGTGCAGGCTTCTCCCAGCCCAGGGTGAAGGAAAGCTTTCCTGGGAGGTTTCCCCAATGGTGGATCTGAGCCTGGCCCGTTGTGATCTCTGCAGGGCTGGGAGGGTGCTGACACTTGTGTGATCCCTCATCAGGGACTGCCACCAAAGGCACGGGGACAGGCAGCTGCTGATGGGTTATTTATCAGTGACCCCCCTTCCCTGCAGGCCAGCCAGGGGCAGGGGGACAAGGATGCTCTGGGCAGCCATAGGGCCAATGTTCTGTTCCTTTCCCTTTGCAGATAAAGATAATCAAGAGATTGTCCTTGCGGCAGGCGGCGGAGCAGGACCTGGTCCAGATCTACCAGTACAAGATCCAGGACAGGAACGTCACCTTTTTTGCACGGGGGCTGTCGGCTGCAGTCCTGTGACACTGTGACACTGGCTGGGAATGGCAGTCCTGTGACACTGTGCCACTGGCTGGGAATGGCAGTCCTGTGACACTGTGCCACTGCCTGGGAATGGCAGTCCCTGCCTCTGCAAAAGCACCAGGAGCAGCACAGCAGACTGACCCGGGAGGGAAGCTCAGACACTCCTGGAAACGGTGCCAACGTGGGATCAGCCTGCCTGGAGCCTGCTGCATCCCTTTGTCCTCCCACCCCGTTCCCAACACACTCAGGCCAAGAAAGGGAGCAAGAACCTGCAAGAATGGCCCTTAGAGCATGTGAATACAGGCAGGGGGTGGCCCGCGGGCTGGGCGTGCCTTGCCTCACCTTTTCCGGTGTGTTGGGCACAGCATGGCAGTGCCAGGCACGGCACGCAGGGAGCACCCCCTCCCTCCTTCCCTCCCTCCCTCCCTGCTGCTGGCACCGGAGCAGATGACACACAGCGGGTGGAGCAGGGCTGGTGTGGGAGCCTGGTGCAATCCTCTCTGGCTGGCAGAGGTGTGCCCAGCTCTCAGCTTCCATGCAGTTGGTAAATCCACAGCTCTGTGTATGGAGCCTCTCATGACTGAGCACTGCTGTGGTTCTTCCCCTGCAGTTTCCCAGGCTCATCCTGGGCTTGTGGCTGGATAAACGCCTCTGTGAGCCTGTCCCAGCCACTGCTTCCTCATCCCAGACCATGGCTAGCAGTTGCACGACCTGCCTGTGCCGAAGCAGTTTTTTAAAAATAATAATCTGTAATTTTAGTGAGATAAGAGTACAGTGGTTAAGTAACCATGGATCTCTAGGTGGGAACTGCTCCCCACCTGCTCCTTGGCAGGGAGCAGGAATGGGCATCTCCCAAGCCTGGAGGAGGAGAGGGCCTTCCCCATGGCCACAAGGGCAGTCCGGGGAGCAGAGCTCAGGCCTGGAGGTGTCCTGGTAGATGCTCCTGCTGGGATTATCCCATTTATCCTGAGAGATAAAAATATCCCATGTGAGAGTCCAGAGCAACCTGCCAGGTCCTTGCAGCTCCAGAGCTGGGATAGCAGCTCTGGCAGTGGGACACGTTCCTGATTTTCTGTGTAGTCTCAGTGACCCATGCCATGCTGGTTTGGGAATGTGCACTTTTCCTTAATTTTTGGGAGCCCTGGCATGCTCAGGGCTGTGGCTGCTGATCAGTGGCAGCCCAGGGGAGCCAGGCAGGCTCCAGGGATTGTGGCAAGGCCACAGGGAGGGAGGGGAGTCAGGCCCTGTCTGTGCTGTAGGACCACTCGTCCCTGGGGTCTCCGTGCTCTCTGTGGAAGTGGCAGTGCCCAGTGCCACTGCTGCTCTCCCAGTGTGGTGGCAGTGCCCAGGTCCATGCACTGTCACAATCGCCCAAGGGAGGATGGGAGGACCAGCAGCTGCTGGCACAGAATGGTGTATAATGGAATAATATCTGTATGATTATCCTTGGAGACATCCCAAAGCCCGGCTCCCAGGCTCTGCCTCTCCCTTTAGAATCCAGCACGGTCATTGTGTGACATCACTATGTGCCATCAGCACTGTGTGACATCACTGCTGGCTTTTGCCTGGTTCTTTCTGCCCTTCGCCAGTGCCTGTATCCAAGAAAAGGGCTAAGGAGCCTGAGTCTAATCCCCGTGTCTCCGTGCAGGGAATGTTCCCTGGGATCAGAGCCCTTCAGAATGAGCCACTGCCTGCACTGTACAGCGCTGTGAGCTCGGACAGGGACAGGAAACCCGTGGGGGCTGCAGAGTCACAGCGAGGACCAAACCCAGGCCAATGTCCAGCAGTGGCCTTGGCCACCAGGACACGCTGGGGCAGCTGTGCTGGGCCAAGGCCCCGCTCTGGGGCTGACGCTGCGAGAGGGCAGCCGGAGAGTGGATGGCAGGAATGGTGCCATCGGTGGCAGGACAGGATGGCCTTGCCCGGGGTCAGCCGCCAGCTGCGTGCTCAGGGCCGTGCCTCGGGCAGTGTTTGTGTGCCAGCCGGAGCTTCGACGCTGACAAACTGGGTGGGACTTGGCCTGAGGGCTCAGCTCTCCATTCCCTGGTGTGGAGGGAGCTGCACGCGGGGGAGGTCCCAGCGAGGCTGGGGCTGGTGGGACAGCGGGGCAGGGCCCTGGGAGAAGGGGATGTGTTCTATTTGGAAAAACTGCAGCTGCAGGGACTGCAGCGTCAGAATGTGACAGCTGCAAGGGCCCTGGACAGGCTGTTGTGGGGTTGCTCAGCCCCTGTAGATGAAGGAGCAGGGAATATGTTTTGCAGCATCCCACCCCATGCCAGCGTCGTACTGGCAGTAGAACGGGGGCACTGCTGGTGGAAAGATTCCTTGGCTTGTGGGTACTGCTTGTCCCTTCCCATGGCGTGTGCCCGGTGCTCCCAGTGCCTGACCCACTTCTGTTCCTGGGAATCAGAGTCACCTCTGTCCCCTGCACCGAGCCGGGGCTCTCGGTGCAAGGTCCTCTCTCCTGATGTGCTCTGCCCCGGGACGCTCTAGGGCTCCTCCCGTCCCTTCTACGATACTCGGGACTCCCAGCGCCTGACCCGCACATTCCCGCCGTGCCCAGGTGCATGGGCCGGCTCCGCTCTCCCCCAGAACCGCAGCGCGGCTCGGTCCGCTCCAGGCCCGTTCCCGGTGCTGCCGCAGCCGCCCTTCCTCGCTCCACGTGCTCCCGCCGCCTCCCCGCCGCTTCCGGGGGCGGGGCCTGTGGGGACAAGGGGCGGGGTCTGAGGTGAACGGGGGCGTGGTTATGCAAATAAAGCAGTTATTCTAACGCGCCGCTCGCGCCGCGTGGGCGTGGCCACGCAAATGAGTCCCCATAGTGGGGCCTGACCGCTCTTGGGGGCGTGGTCAGAGGGGGCGTGGGCGTGGCCACGCTGACGGCGGGGGGCGTGGCCGGCGTGCGGCGCTGCGCGCGCGCGGTCGGGGCCCGGCGGCGGTGGCGGCAGCGGGGGGAGGGCGGGAGGGGGTGGGAGAAACCGGGCCGGGAACGGGCGGAAGAGCTCCGGATTAACGCGGGCTTAGAGCTAATAAACCCCACAACATCCTGCATCCAAAAAAAAAAAAAAAAAAGAAAAAGGGCCGGAAAAAACCCCCCAACGACGGAGCACGAGAGCCGCGGCCGCTGGGAGGTCAAAGGGCGGAGGTGAGGAAGGAGCCGCTTCCCGGTGAGGTGAGAAGGGGCCCGGGCAGGCGGGGGCAGCGCGATCGGGTGTGGGAAGAAGCCCTGAGCAGCCTTTCCCTGCCTCAGTTTCCCCGCAGGGCCCCTCACGGAGGGGTCCGGGCGCGCCTTCCCCTCACGCAGCCGCCTCCCGCCCCCACATCCCCCTGTCTGCTTTTGGGGAGGATTCCTAAGGAATACGTGAAGGGAATGACGGGAATGTGGAGTATTTGATTCCGTGGGGTTTGTTGGTACCCTAAAGATTCTCTGCCGCGGTTCTCTGGGCTCAGTGTTGTGTCTGCCCTCGGGATAATCACCTGTCTTTGGGATCGGGATCGATATTCGGGAATCGACAGAGAGATGGAGAAAGTTTTGGGGCGCCAAAGGTGTAAAGTGAAGAGGGAGAGAGGAGGGAAGGGGTTGATCGCCTCTGCTGCGGGATCAGGAGAAGATGTTTTATGGGAAAGGGTTAAAAAGATGGAATATGTGAAGGGAGCGATGGGACAGGGGAATGAACACCCCAGGAAATTTGGTTCAGGGTCACTTCAGAGCCAGGGTTTGCTGCTCCGGCTCTCTGCGGACCTGGCTCTGTGCTCTCAGCAGTTATCTTGCCCCCTGAATCACGCTGGACTTTGGGATTTTGTCAAAATTCAGGGGTCGACTTCCTCGTGTGAGTCACAATGAACATCCTTGCTTTCTCTTTAGTAAAAAGAGCAAGGAGCTTTTGGAATGCTGAGGCAGTTCTGGGGCTGTGTTTGGGAGAATCCCGAGGAAAGGACTCCGGAAAGATTTTGGCCCTAGTGCCAGAATTTCCTGAATGCAGCATCCACGTGTTTTTCCGGGTTGTTGAAAGGCAAACCAAGTTTCTTTTCATTCAAGGGGCAGAGATGAGGCGTGAGCTCCCTCTCTGTGAAACCAGAGCTGTGAGGGCAGGACTAGGGTGGTAAATTTGGGATTACACGAGCTGTTGTGTAATGCAGAAAGGAGATTAGCTGGCCGGGATTGGGAAGGGAGGAAAACACCCCGGGATGTTCCCTGAACGTGTGACACAGCTCCGTGTTTCCAGGTACAACTTGGCATGGTTTATTTTTCCAATCATGATTTAAATATAACATCCCAAAAGAGCTAAGAACAATCAGGGTTTGTCTCAGGAGCGTTAAAATAGTATTTTAAGTGTCAGAATCCTATGATGAATGAATTATGCTCTCACTGAGTTACTCAACACTATTTTCAGTCAGGGTTGCTGGGCCTGTCTGGCGTGAGAGTTTGGATCATTATGTACCAAAAATGCCTTTTTTTTTTTTCCCCCCTCTCTGATGAGAATTTAAAAAGTAGAGCAGGTACAGCTCGAGGAACAAAAATAGCATTACCTGCCTGTAGTGGAGTGTAGTAGCTGAGGAGCAGCAGATCCTGAGTCCTGGGAATCCTTTCCAGGCCAGGCACCTTCCTCTCCTTCCAAAAGAGTTTTTGTAGGGAGCTGTGGCTGGAGGTGGGGACACAGTGCCCTGGGCTGTGGAAGCTGCTCTCCAGGCACTCCTTGGCTCCCGTATCTGTGATTATAATTCCTTTGAATCCCTTTCTCCCCCCTGTGCAGTGCATTAAAGGGTGAGAAGGAGCACTGAGCAGTTCCGTGGTGGTGCAGCTGCTGTTTCTGTGTCTGGGAGTGTTACTGCTCCCATCCAAGGTCTCCAGAACAGGGAATTGAGAGAATCTTTGTGCTCATATCCTCAGGTGAAAACCCAGCCCCAATGGCTCAGGGCAGCCGTGGTCTTTTGGCATAACTGGGAAAAAGTAAAGTTCTCCTCCCAGGAAAAGAGTGATTTCAGCTGGAGTGAGAGCGTGGTGGACAGTGGGGAGGGGAGCAGGACTGCACTTCTTAAATCTGAATTAATCTTGTATGGAGCATTGTGATAAAGGAATAATAGTTGGTTTGTTTACAAAAGACAATGTCCGAGTCAGACTTCGGGACTTGCTGCCTCACAGAGGAATTTGGGGATCGTTTCTCCATCTGGAATGAAGAGTGCAGTGATTTCCTGGGCCTGGCTTCTTAACTGATGATTGGAAAGGAAAATGTGTGGTTCTGTGAGAGCCCTGGCAGTTGGTGTGTCCAGCCCTGTTCCTGCTGTGACCCAGAAGCTGTGGAAAACCAGTGCCAGGCAGGTGCATCCCCTGACATACAGGTGCTGTGTCCCTCTGGGGCTCTCAGGGCCCTTCACAAGCCCCAAAGATCCGGGAGTGCAGAGCTCTGAGCCATGGGAGCTGTCCTGATCAAAGCTTTCAGGGTTATTTCTGAGGGAGCCATGCAGGGAAATGCGTGCTGAGGGTTATGTCTCAGTTGTTACTTTTGATTTCATAGATAAATGGTCAGAATTTGTGTCTTGTGTCCTTTTTGTCTTCCCTCACGTCCTGCCTGTGAGGGGATCCCTGGAAATGGCATGACTGACAGGCAGAGCCAGAATTGCAGAGTCCAGGGTGGAAACACCGCTGAAGCTCTGGGTGGGTGTGTGTGGAAATGGGAACGTGTTCCCCAGAGAGAGCCAAGGGCACACTTCTGGTTTCCTGCCAAAACCACGAGTTTTGGAAACCTTTCACTTACACGAACCCAACTCGTGCTCCACCCCCAGCCCTCCCTCTGGGATGGGGAGACTCTTGGTTGAGGTTTCCACGAGGTGTTTTTCAGGGAAATGATAGTGCTGCATGGATAAACTTCGTTGGACGGAGCTCTGATTACAGTAAGTCAGGAAAGCCCTGCCAGTGATAGCTGGGCTGTGTTTAATGGTACTCAGAAGATATTTCTGAGGGGCTTTTGGAGGAATTTTCTTCTAGGAGGCAAATGGACCCCATATGGGCTATGGCTTTGGAAAGTGCAGAATTCTGCTTGGAGGGTTTATGTGGATGTGGTTTACTTGGGAAGGGTTTTGGGAAGCTGCTGTCTGCTCCTGGGGCTGGGGTGGGCTGGGAAAGGAGCTACAGTTCATTCCACAGACAATTTTTGCCCATCCTGGGCACTCCTGGAGGTGTTACTGTCCTCTCTAACTGTCCCTGCCCTGTCAAATGGAGGAGGGAAGCCTGGAAGCATCTGTCGTGTCACAGCCCTTAAAAAAAGAGCAGTTCTGGTATTCCGACATGAATTTGAATTTTGAATTTGTCTGTTTCAGAAAGAAACACCAAACCATACAGACAGAATGTGTTTGCCTACATTAAACAGTGTGGTTTGGTTTGGGTTTTAGTTCCTAATATTGATCATTGCCACCGATGCCGATTTCTGTTCTGAAGGAGAGTTTTGAGCCAGGAAATGTGGCCTCTGCAGGGAGAGGAGCCCCAGCCCTAGAGAAAGAAACAGGGAAGGAGTTGTGCTCGGTTCAGATCCTGGTTTGCTGAGGAAGAGGATGAATCCCCACTGAGCTGGGCTGGTGAATGGCTCTGGTGCTTCCCAGGCAAACTTTGCCTGACAAAAGCAGAGCTGGAGCTGGGCAGGAATCCTTAGAGTGCTGATTTATCGCTGCTTTCAGCACTCCTGCAGTGAGGGTTATTCAAACCCAGGGGTGTTTCCGTTCCTCATTTGAAGAGCAGCAAGGCCACAAAGGGAGGATTAAGATAAAAATCAAACCTGACTGTCAGAGAGCATCAAGGGACTCACAGTTATTCTGGGAATGCCCTCATGGCTAGAAGGTGCTAAAGGAAAGGAGGAGAGGAAAACTTCATGTCTGGCATCCCCAAAACTGGAGTGTTCAGCACCTTTTGACTCTTGGTGAGCAACTGGTGGTAGTGCCAGGCTACAAAAAGGAAGAGCAGCTTTGCAAGCTGTCGTTTCAGGGAGCTATTTCTGTCTGTGTGCTCAAAGCACACACTGAAAAAGACATGAAAAGCTTTAGGAGCTGTCTTTTGGGACATGGAAAGTTTTTAAAGCCTGAAGGACAGCGGGCAGTTGGTGTGGGTAAAAGAGTGGGACAAAGAGAATGAGGAGTAGCAGTCATCCCAAAATCCTGCAGCAAGTGGGAAATGGTTGAAAAGCACCTGGCAAGGTGCAGGAGTGTGGAATAGCTGGTGCTGCTCTGCCACAGGTACTCCTTGGCAAGGTGAGTTTGCTCTTTCTAGGATAAGATACCAGGGCTCTTTCTGGCTGCACAAAAGCAGCTGTGAATGAATTCTCTAAGGTTTGATTTTTATCCAAATAAGAGCCTTGAATAGGTGCAGTTAAAACAAGCCCAAAGCCTAAGAAGGTGGCAGTGTGTGATGGATGAAATCGTGGTTCAGTGAATGTGTTCAGAGCAGCAGTAACACCCCTGTGAATGGGCTGGCTGTACTGAGAGGGGCTCTGGGGGGCTCTGGGGGCTCACTGTCACTGAAGTGGCACAGCAGACTGTGCATGTTCAAGCTGTAAATGACACAAAGCAGGGAAGGGCTGCACGTGTGACTCAGGAGTGAGAAACGAGTTGGAGCAATTAGAGGTGGCCTGAAAATGGGCTGGTGATGAGGAAGGACGGTGGTGAGGTTGGGATTCAAGCAAAAATAGCCAGCTGCAGGCATGAGGATAATTGCTGGGGTGTAATCCCTAATTAAAGGGACCTGGTGAGCTCCTGTGTCTGTGGGAAGGGGAGGTGAAAGTCTTGAGTATGAAAATCCCTGGAGGTGGCCTTGGCAGCACTGCAGGAGCCCCTGGACTCCATGGACTCATTCCATGGTTCCAAATGCCACTGCTGGGGCTGGCTGTGCCCGCTGGGAACAGAAGGGTTAAACAGCAGGGAGGGGCCCAGGAAAACGGTACCAAACCCTGTCTGACACCTGGGGACAAGAGCAAATTGGATAAACATGTGTTGGGAGTAATTTGAGCAAAGCTCCGATGCTCAGAGTGCGGCGGTGAGGCAGAGCCCGCCGTGCCCTGCAGCCCTGTGTCCTTGCTGTCACTGTCACCTGCCACTGCCGTGCTGTGGCTCCCTGAGCAGGGCTGGTGGTGTCGGTGCCCTGGGAGGAGCCCTGCAGGCAGCTGGGGAATGCTGGGCCCTGCAGGGCAGGAGTGCTGGCCCTGTGTGATGCACACAGAGCTGCCATGGCTGTGCCCGGGGCTCAGCTGGAGTTTGGGGCATTCACGGGCTTTGCTGGGCACCGAGGGTGGCCTGGCCTCTTTGTTGCATGATGTGGGCAGTGCTGGAAAGCTCAGCAATGGCCCAGATCAGACCCAGTTACCATTTCCTGAATGACACAGAACTGGGCAATCTTGCTTTGGGTTGGACCTTAAAGCCCATCTTGTTCCATTCCCTGCCATGGGCAGGGACACCTTCCCCTGTCCCAGCTCCAAACCTCATCCAGCCTGGCCCTGGACACTCCCAAGGATTCTTCCTCTTTTCCAGGGCCTCTCCACCCTGCCAGGGAACAATCCCTTCCCCATATCCCATCCATCCCTGCCCTCTGGCAGTGGAAGCCATTCCCTGTGTGCTGTCCCTCCAGGCCTTGTCCCCAGTCCCTCTCCAGCTCTCCTGTAGCCCCTTCAGGCCCTGCCAGGGGCTCTGAGCTCTCCCTGGAGCCTTCTCCTCTCCAGGGGAACATTCCCAGCTCTCCCAGCCTGGCTCCAGCCCTCTCTGGACTCACTCCAGCAGCTCCATTTCCTTCTGCTGTTGGACCCCCAGACTTTGCACAAGTCCAGGCAGATGATCCAAAAGCATTTTGCCTGTTTTGTGCTCCAAACAAGAGGCTGAGATGTTCACCCTGGTCTGGTGGAGAGGATTAGAAAAGGGCATGAGTAGGAATACTACCTGTAGTAGAAAGGGAAGAGCATTACAGGTGTGTGCTGTTCACACAAGGCTGAGTGAAGGATGGATGGATGGAGCCCCTGGTGCCCGTGCCTGGCACGGGGCTGGCATGGACAGCCAGGAGAGGAACGGTGGCATTGCACAGCTGGCCTTCGTGGGCAGGCTCTGGGCTGTAACTGCACGGGGCTGTTGCATCAGTCTCGGGTATTTTTAGGAGAAAGTGATTCCCCAGCCACTTGTAGAGCGGCTGCATTGATAAACACAGAGGAGGAGATTATTCCAAAGGGATCACGTGGGATGCAGTGTATAAGGACGTTTGCCAGGGCAGGCTCCCGGCCCCTCTGTGTCCCTGTGTGCTGCCTGAGCCTGGCCAGGAGTGCACAAACCACTCCGGCCTGGTGGGCTCGTGTGTGAGGGGCTCCTGGAGCCAGGGACCCCTGGAGCCAGGGACCCCTGGGATAAACCTCGCTCTTCCCGAGCCTCATCACTGCCTGTGTAAGCCATGTGACAGGAGCAGTGTCCTGGGGAGATTTCCCTGGCTTAGCCCGGGTTTATCCTGGGATAAAAGGGACAGCCCCTTCCTGCTCGGCTGCCTCAGGCCTTCCTAGTGTCCACTGTTTGCCTGGTGTCCTCTTCCTGATGAAATCAGTAAAAAGCCTTCCCAGGCTGCTCTCTGATCATCCTTGAGCTCCTCAGGACCTTCTCCAGTTCCCCTGTGTGCCCCTGTGGGATGAGGAGGAGGAGCAGGAGTGCCCACTTAGCGCTGTGAGGATGGGTTTGCATCCTGCTTCCATTCCATTCATTCCTAACACACCATTTCCTTTTTTACACTGTATCATGTGCTGATCCTTCAGGGAATTAAGGACTGGGATCACAGGATGCTATTTTATTTGCCCTGTGTGCATCACATCCCATTTGCTGGAACTGGGTGATCCTTAAGATTCCTTCCCACCCAGACCATTCTGGGATTCTGTGCAGGTGAATCATTCCCAGCTCTACAGGGTTGGGTGAGAACTCTGTGATGGAGAAGAAGGGGTTGGGAAATGTTTCCTTGTGTTTGGAATCTCTGTTCTTCATGTGCAAGGGAGCTTCCCTTGGCTGGATGCAGCAAGAGGAGTGAACTTTGAAACAGTGTTTTTTCTAAATTTGGTTATTTTCTCTTTCTGTCACAAATCCCAAACCTCTGTGTTTTATGGCTCTGCACGTGGAACATCCTATCCTGTCTCATCATCCACAGCAACAAGATGTTCTCTGGTGCTCTTGGGAGTATTTTGGGCAGGAAGAAAGGATAGAAACCACATTCAGTGGATGACTTCCAAAGCAGGAGTGTAACTGAGGTTCTTCTCTCGTTAAAAAATGTCCTGAAAACCGTTTTGGAAAGTGATTTTGGATGTCAGCCCCTGTTTTGGGAGCAGATAACTTTATCTGACATGTAGAGGTTATTGAAATGTTCTCTTTGAATCTTCGTTGTTGTTGCTACTCCAGCTTTTCAAGAGATGTTAATAATATGTAGTGTGAGTGAAATACCACTTAGAAAACGGGGTCTGTTCCAGATAACCTCTGAATTTTTAAACTCAAACCATAAATTAATGTTATACAGAGAGGAAAACAGGCAAAACTGGCAAAGTGAGTCAGAACAGGTAAAATGAAGTAAGTTTGCACATTTTGGCGGCTGAAATCTGGCTCAAAAACTCGTGTCAGACTTCCAGCACTGTTGTAGCACAGAGCTGCAATGGAGGGAGTGGACTGAGCAATGTCATTTTCTACCTTTTGAATATGGAAAGCACCCCTTCTGTGCAGGACAATCCGCTGAGCACTCAGAGGCTGTTCCAAGCCTTGTTGTGACAGCAGTGCTGGGATTAACCCTTGCCGACAGCAGCCTCCCCAGGGCTAGTGCATGGCTGTGATTTTCCCATAGGAAGTGTTGTGTTCCTCGTGACCTCCGTGTCCCCTGGCAGCACAAAGCCCCTCATTCTTCCCATGGGAATGTGAGGGGAGAGCAGGACCTTGGTGTTAGAGCCCATTGTGCAGCCTTGCTGTGAAGGAGCCTTGTCCTGAGCCAGGCTCTTGTTTTCCCACCTCTGAAATCCTGAGGAATGTCCCTGGCCCTCGCTGGGGGACAGTCCATGCCTGCTGGGAGGGAGAGCTGGGTTCTGAGCTCTGTGCCTCTCTCCCTCCCCTCCTGCCTTTGTGCATGGGGGGGTCTGGGAGCTGCCGTGGCAGTGGGACCAGTGAGTGATCGCTCAGAGCATGGCCTGAGCCACCTCCAGCAGAGGGCAAGAAAACCCAGGTGCCGTTCCGGGCTGTGAGGGACCCAGCATCTGTTCTCTGCATCTGCAGGGACCCCGGCATTTCCCCCGTTTTGGGGGGTGTGTGGTGCTGGGCTTGGCCCTGCTGTGAGATCCTGGCAGTGGGCAGGGCTGGGGAAGGTGGGAGCTGTTTGCAGCTCGAAGGGAGGCCGTGGATCAGCCAGGTTTGTGCTGCTGGCTCCTGTGCTCTGTGTGTGTGCTGGGAGGAGCCCAGGAGTGTGGGAGACACCTGGAATCCAGAGCTGTGGGTGAGTGGCCCACGGATGAGTGGCGCAGGGACACCAGGGAGGCTCTGTCCTGTTTGCACCCTCTGTCCTGGCTCACATCTGAGCTGGAGCCAGCTGAAATTACCACTTAGAGCAGGAGCTCGGGCTGTGCTGCCCCAGCTGCTCCCACGTGTTCTGGGGCAGCTCTGGAGGCAGCAGGTTTCCCTCCTCCCCCAGGAGCCTGGGTGGGATTGAGGGATTTATGGATGCAAGGCGGTGCCTGCAGCGCCAGGAGGGGGAATTGCTGCTCCATCCCTACCTGGCCCTCAGGTGTGTGAGCATCACACTGAGCTGTTCCCTGTGCTGTCCCTGCAGCACAGACCAACCCAGAGACCTTTATAAATTCCCATTTTTAGTAAATTCTTCCTTCTTTCCCATTCGATCCTTCCCCAAACACAGCCTTGGCAGGAGAACTCCCCAAATCCCACTGAGGAGTTCCATGTGCAGAGCAGGGGTGGACAGGCAGGTCAGCCCTTGGATGTGGATCCTGCTGGAAAAGGGGTGGGCAGAAGGACCATGTTGGGTCTGCTCCTGCTTTGCCATGCTTGGGGTTGTAAATGGAAAAAGCTGGGTTAAAATTCCCATTGGAGGTTCAGATATAGGCAACATGATGGAGCAAATTATTGAATGTATTGAAGTGCAAGAAAAATGCTATAGAACAGGGATTTATTTTAGATTTTTCCTTGTATTTCCCCCTCTCCAGGCTGCACTGGCTCAGCTGTGTGTTTTTATTGCACCTAATGCCTGGTTCCAGAACATTTTGTGGAAAACTGAGGAGTTGAGTACACCTAAAACCCCAGGTGACTGTGTATTAGAAAAGGGAAAGTTTTTACCTTTGTTAGTTTATCCTCTAAGCTCACAGTGGGCTCTGCTGTGTTTCCCTGCCCTCAGTGTCCAGGGAGGCTCCTGGGCAGGCTGTAAAGCCTTTCAGACAGAAATGTAAAGAATTTGGAACATGTCACTATTGCTGAGTGAGATAAAAGCTTTTGTCTGGGGATGAGTAGCAAGTTTGAGTTGATTTTTCCTGCAAAAGGAAGCTGTACATGTCCTCCTTCTGCTGGTCAGCCTGGTTTTTGTAAGAGTGCAGGACAAGGAGGAATTTCTCCATGGAAAGGGTGCTCAGGAGTTGGCAGGGGCTGCCCAGGGAATGGTGGGTGTCCTGGAGGTGTCCCAGGATGTGGCACTCAGTGCTCTGGGCTGGGGACAAGGTGGGCATGGGGCACAGGAGGCACTCGGTGACCTTGGAGGGCTTTTCCAAGCTCAGCGATCCTGGGATTGTGTGAAGTTTGTCTCTTGTACCTGAAGAAGAAGCAGAAGCAGAAATGTCACCTGTGGTGCTGCAAGGTGGGAACGTCCCCATGGCCTCGTGCTTCCAGGCAAACTTTGTCTTGCATTTGCAGTCATGCAAGAGGCAAGAATTTCTCCTTTAGCATTTGTCCTACAATCAGCAGGTTTATTTTGGCTTAATAATCTCATATATTATAAAAATAAAACAGATAATCTCTGTTTGGAGAAATGACTTGGAGCAGGAACAGTTCCTGCTGTTTACTCTTAGGAGCTCTGTCACAGCATAAAGCAAATAAAGATGGCAGATTTTAATATGCAACCCCCTCAAGTGATAAAGAAAAACTAGCTCTGGAATGCTCTGTGTTTTCTCATGGAATGCTGCTGTTGGACAGCAGGTGAAGAGAGTCCATACAAAGTTTTCCTCCTTGAAGTGACTAGGAATTGTTGCCAGTGCTGTGCTCCTCCCCAGAGCAGCTTTTGGCAGCTCAGGCTGGTCACAGAGCCACTTGGGGTGTATTTTTTGCCACAGGAGCAGCATGTCCATGTTGTTCCTGAGCTCCTCGTGGAACAGGGATGGTCCAGTCCTGCCGGGGAGGCTGAGATCTGCTCTATCATTTCATAGAATCAAGAAACCCCAGAATGGTTTGTGCTGCAAAGGGACCTTAAGGATCGTCCTTGCCATGGCAGGGACACCTCCCACTGTCCCAGGCTGCTCCCAGCCCTGTCCAGCCTGGCCTTGGGCATTCCAGGGATCCAGGGGCAGCCACAGCTGCTCTGGGCACCCTGTGCCAGCCCTGCCCACCCTGCCAGGATTCCTTCCTGAACACCGGTGATTTCTAAAGCGAGCTGATCGTGTTTATTTCTCTTTTCCTGACCTGTTTGTCTCCCTTTTCCCCCGTAGCTGGAGCCAGTGCCTTCCCTGAAGGGCTGCCCATGGTGGGAGTGGCCGAGCCCCTGCAGTGTCCCGGGATGGCCTCGAGGTGAGGGTGTGGCTGAGGATGACCCTGACTGAAAGGCTGCGCGAGAGGATTTCGCGGGCGTTCTACAGCCACGGGCTGCTCTGTGCCTCCTACCCCATCCCCATCATCCTCTTCACTGGCCTCTGCATCCTGGCCTGCTGGTGAGTTTGTGTCACACACGCCTGGGAGGGGGGTTCTTGGCAGCCTTCTCTCTCCTGGGCCCACCCAGCAGCTCTTCTTTTATGTGGGTTTTGGCATCTCCTTTTGTGGGACAAAAGAAACAACAGTGATGAAGTGTCTTTGTCTGGTTTAATAAGTAAGAACTAATTGAATAAGTGAAGCAATAAATGAGATGAAAGTAACCCTCAGGCACCTGGTAGTGGACTCCAAACCCATGAATTAAAAATGGGCAGAAGGAAAGCTGATCTTTCTTTGCACACCTGCCTGTCCTGTCCTCCCTGGAGCCTGCACTCTTCTGTTTCACCCTTGGCACACCCGTGTGGGAGTAGATTCCCTGCTCTCCCTGTGGACTCTAATTGGGATCTCTAGTTTATAATTTTACTCCCAGGAATGTCACACAGGCTCAGAATTTCCAGCAGGGCACTGTGGGGCTGAGCAAACTTTTGTGCCCAGACCATGCACACATATGCATGTACAGATTCTGTCTTGCAGGGTTTAATTCCCTTATCTGCTTTGGGCAAAATAAACCTGATGTGATGGTTTCCTGCCTTATTTGTAGAACAGTTCCATGTGTATTGCCACAGACCCAGGTTTTCCTTGGAGCTGTGATGGTGTCAGGGGCTGCTTGCACTTAATCTCAGTTAAAACATTGCCAAAGGGAGGATTTTCACACATGAAAAGCCTCTGAGGTGGCTTCTCCTGGCTGGAACCCTTTGTGGTTGAGAGCAGCAGTGGAGGTGTTGCTTCCTGGTTTTTCCCATGAATCCCTGTAACTTTTGTTCCCAGTCTCTTGTCCTGTAGGACATGAAGCTCCCACAAGGCCCAGCCAAGTGGTTCCTGCATTGCTGTGGCTTTGATGTGATTCCAAGCAGCAGCTCTGTGTTTTGGCTCCAGCTTCCCAGTGGCATTTCTTCACCTGCAAGCTGCACCCAGCAAAGCCAAAGCAGAATTCCCACGTGTGTCACTGTGTCACCTCATTCCTGCTTGGGAATGGCTGCCCAGGATGGGCTCAGGCTCCTCATGGAGCTCTCCAGGCAGCAAATGCAGGGCAGCTACAAATTGGGAAACATTCACCCACAAAGGGGTGTGTTTTTCTTACTTCCTTCTGAAATTCAGCATTTCCTAGAGAGGAGAAATTCTGATTTGGGTCACCAGCAGCTCTCCTTGTGCTTGGGATCCTCAGCTCCCAAGGATGAGGTGAGGACTTGGAGCTGCCCTGTCACTGTTCAGAGCAGGCAGCTGAGGCTCCAGCCCGGGTGGTAACTGTGCATTTATGCAAGGGTCTGCTTTGTTGAGTGCCAATTTTTGAGGATTCTGCAGTGACTGCTTTCCTCCAGGCTGCAGAAATCCATCCAAGACGCCAGCAGGCATGGAGAGTCCGCTTTCTTTAATGAGTTTGAGAAGCTCATTAGCAAAGCAGATCCTGGCCGTGGGAGAGACAGGTGGCAGAAGTGTGGTGACACCCCTGGACAGCAGGAGAGCCTTGGCAGAAAGCTGGGCTGAGGCTGGAGGTCTTGGTCCCTGTTTTTTTGGGGGTGTTTCAGTTCCTGTTCTGAGCTGCTGTGCATTAACTGCTGATAACGAGGTGTTAATTGTGGCTTGAGAAATGGCTTTGCTAATTAGGTCAGAACTGTTCCAGAGTGGGGTCAGAGTGTGAGAGTGAAGGGATTGCTTCCTGGGAGCTGCATTTTGCCGTGTGTGAGGGCTCAGGGATGGTCTTTGGCACCAGTTCCCTGCTGGAATGGAGCTGTTTGTGCTCTGTGCAATCACTCCTCTCTCCCGGTGCATTTCACTGACACATCCCAGCCACCCCTCTGCAAAAACAAGGAGCTGGTGGGGAAAAATCAAGGCCCAGCACTGAGGCAGAAGCTCATTTAGGCAACATTTGTGTGCAGGGACCCTCAGCACTGTGTGCTGCTGGGCTGAGACCAGCACAGAGCAGGGAACTCACACAATCATGGAATTGGTGAGGTTGGAAAATTTCTCCTTTCCTGGAGAAATGAGGGATCATGGAGTCCAGCCACTCTCCAGCACTGCCAGGGGTCTCTGCTGACCTGCTCCAGGTTCCTCAGCCTGCAACATGGTAAATAAAGACATTCCAGCAAACAAGAGTGGGTCTTGTATCCTGAGTTCTTCCGAGGGACAGAGGTGGATCAGTCCTGTCCCCTTGGAGGAGAGCTTCTGGAATTCTGCTGCAGAGAAAATGATCTCAGTCACTGGGGTTCTCCTCCCCCCAAAACGTCAGTCCAACCCCACCATTTTTGTGTGCAGACAATTTTTAAAAGCTGAAATAAAGCACAAGGTCCACAATTTATCCATCAGGGGTTCTGGCCTCAGGCCAGTGACCATGCAGGCAGTAAGGTCACCACAGAGCCTGGTCTGGTTGTTTTGGGTGTCTTTACTCTTGGAAGGGTTTGTACAGACACTTTGTACAGTGCTTTTAATGCCACTGACAGACGAGACACAGCATCTCTGGGTTTGATAATAAATTAATACCCAAAGCAAAAAATCCTGTGACTCATTCTCTGTAGTCCTAAAGTCTAAAAATCCAAGTTACTCTCCACATCGGAGGGAGAGTTTTCTTGTTTTACTATAACTCATTTTCCTCATCCCACTTGAATGGATCGGTGTTGGGATGTGCATTTTTCCCTGGAATGAGAGTGTGACCAAGCTTGTCTGACACCAGCCCAGAGAGGAGCAGGTGATGGCTGGAAAAGTGGCCACTGGGGTAAATATGACATCCCAGTGTCACTCTGAAGAACGGGTTTTAGTTCAAGTAAGGGCTGCAGATCACCCAGGTGACTCTGCAGCAGGTTGAGAGCAATTAAAGAGGTGTTTGTTTTTTAACTGAAACACAGGTTCTGCTCCTGAGGAATGGCAGAACTGGCTGGAACCAGAGCCCCTGGGGAGGGGTATGTGTGTGTGTACATATTTATTTATAATTATTTCTATAAGAACATACCACTCTTGCCCTGGTGTGTACTATTGGTGTGGTAACCAGAGCACCTGAGCCAGAGTCAGACTCTTCATGTTCCAGCTCCCCAGAGAACAGAATCTCCTCTGGGATTTCACCATGGCACTGTGTGCACAGGGAGGGGAATCTCCTTTCCAGTGCAGGATTTCGGGGCCCTGTCAGGGGAAGCAGGGCAAAGCCACTCTCACTGACTCAGAAACAGGTTGGTGATGCACTTGCCAAGGCTCCAAAGGCTCTGCTGCTGCCAGGTATTGGCCTTGCCAGCCCTCTGGCAGGACCCTGTTAGCAGATTCCTCCCTCCTCAGCAGGGATTCCAGGCTGGGCTGTCTTGGCTGCAAACAGGCCAAAAGCTTGTCCTGCACTGAGCCAAGGACCTTTGAATTCCATGGATCAGCTCCTTTCCTGGAGCTCCTCCAGTCACCTCCCTGCTTCCCTCCAGCCTCACTGGCTGGGGCTGCTCCAGGTGCTGGAGCTCCTGTGGGTCTGGGAAGGGGGAATGTGCAGGGAGGGATTTGCCTGGAGCTCTCCTGGCCCTGCTCCATCTTGGCCCCCTGAGCCATCTTGAAAATATGTCAAGTACTTGGATGAGCACTTCAGCCTGCAGCTCAGCAGCTCCAGCTGCTTACAGGATCTGTGTTTGCTTTATTCTGGGGTTATGTGAGCATCTAAAAAGAGCCTTTCCCAAAAGCAGAACAACCTGAGCTTTCCTGTCATCCTTGTTAGATCCCAGGATCACAGCATGGGTGGCTTGGGAGGCACCTCTGGAGATCAGGCAGGGTCACCTGGAGCAGGTGACACAGGGATGTGTCCAGGGGGGTTTGGGATGTCTCCAGACAGGGACACTCCAGGGCAGCTGCTCCAGGGCTCTGCCCCTCCATGGAAAGAGGCTTTTCCTTCCTCCTGCTGAGCTGCAATTTGTTGTGCTTGGCTTTGTGGCCATTTCAGGTCCTGCGGTTCTTCCCTCCTCTATCTGTGCTTTCCATTCTCATGTTCACCTCAAAAAAATCCTTAATAAAGAGAAATGTGAGGAGATTCAAACCCAAGTGCTGGAAATGCCTTTCCTGGAGCTGAGGTGGGGCCATTCTTCCCTCTGGGCACGTGTCAGTGACCCAGACCTGGCACAACAGAACAGCCAGAGCAGCTGTGGCTGTCCCTGGATCCCTGGCAGTGTCCAAGGCCAGGCTGGAGGGGGTCTGGAGCAGCCTGGGACAGTGGGAGGTGTCCCTGCCCATGGGATGATGCTCGAGATCCCTTCCATCCCAAAGCACTCCAGCATTCCGTGTTTCCAACACCTGCTGGGTCCCCCACAAGGAGCCCCTTTTCCCTCACACTGAGCTGTGAACCAGGGCTGGGACTGCAGAGAGAATCCCCCGTGCTCTGATCTCCCAGCAGAGCCGTGATCCCAGCTGGAGTCAGCACCTTCTAGTGCTGCTGGGGGAGAGCTGAGCCCTCCTGCCCTTGGACAGGAGTCTGGGAAGGAGAAGGGACAGCAGCAGTGCCAGACAGAGTCACCACAGACACCCCAGAGAGGGGAGCACACTCCAAAATCAGTGTCTGATTGTAAATGATCCAAATTCTACAAAAACGATTGTTGTGGCTCCTCCCACCTCACAGGTGACTGACAGGCAATGTGGTGGCAAAGCAGCAAGAAGATGAAGAATTCGTGGTTTGGTGTCTCACTGCTGCTCTTAGGAGTTCTTTGAGGGTTAATGAAGTTCAATGCAAGTTTTTGAAGTAGTTTGAATCTAAATGAGCAAAAGCAGAGGATTACAAAGGATTTGGGGCAGGGAAGCAGGCCCTGGAATATACAGAGTGTCTGGGGTTTGTGCAGCATACACAGTGACTGAGCCGTGGCCATACTCAGTGGTTTTGCCACAGCTAACGTGGATGGAGGAGTTCAGGACAGGCCCTGCAAGGTCTTTCCTTTCTCTCCCAGGACTTTTAGGTGTCCCTTTCCAAGGGACAAGGGCTCTTGGATACCAGCCCATTCCCATGCAAGCCTCCTGTCCTGCACACCTTGGCTTTGCCGAAGCGTGCCCGCTCATTTTTGTATCTGTTCTATCTAAAAAAGTCCCTTAACCTCCAGAATGAGAGAGTTGCTGGTTGTGTCCCCCCAGCTACCCCCTGCTGAAGCTGCCACTGCCCGGGACCGGCCCGGTGGAGTTCAGCACGCCGGTGAAGGATTACGCTCCCCCCGGGGCGGGGCCGCAGCCCGGGGACCCCGGCGAGCGCCCGGACTGGGTGAGTTCCGCTGTGCCCCAGGGGACGGGACACGGCCCTGGCCGGCCCGAGCTGCCTCAGGCCACCGGGCATGGGGCTGGGAGCAGCCTGCGACACAGGGAGGTGTCCCTGCCGGGGCAGGGTGGCACGGGGTGAGCTGTAATGTCCCCACAACACAAATCTGACTCCTTCTGTTCTTGCCTGCTGAGTCCTGTGGTGTCCAGCTCTAGTTTGGGAAGGGGAACCAGAGCCTGGCAGAGCCCTTGGTGCTGTGGTTGTGCTGGAGCTCCCAGGGGCCATCCCTGACCCTCGCTGCTCTCTCGCAGTACGTGGGGGCTCCCGTGGCCTACATCCAGCAGATCTTTGTGAAAGCCACCGTGTCCCCGTGGCAGAAGAACTTCCTGGCTGTGGATGTGTTCCGCTCGCCGCTGTCCCGAGTCTTCCAGCTGGTGGAGGAGATCAGGAACCACGCCCTGAGGGACAGGTGAGCACACGGAGCTGCTGCTGGCCACACCTGGCTGCTCCGGGGCTGGGCAGGAGCTTTGGGCTGGTAATGCCCTAAAGGAAGTGAGAGATGCCATGAGTGAGCTGGGACCCATCCTGCACAGGGGACAGTTCACATTTGTGCTGGAGCTCTGTGCTCCAGCTAAGGCACTGAAAATCCTCAGGAGTTTTCTGGTCAGAGTGCAGAAGGGGCCTGCATGGTGACACAGGTGCAGTGTCAGAATTCCTTCACCACCACACCAGCTCCATACCACAGGGGAGTTCCAGGGCATCTGCTGGAATTTCCTGGTTAGGAGCTTTCTCCTGACTTTCTTTGGCTGTTTTTAGGACCTGCTTGGTTTTATCCTGTTGGGACCTTTATACAACAACAGCTTTGCTCAGCTTCCAGGTATTTGCAGGGGCAGCTCCTATTCCCCAGCCCAGTCCCCTGTTTGTTAAAAGGCAAACAGAAAACTCTGGGCTCACTGGTGAGGGGTTCAGCATTCCATGTGCCACGCTGGGTGCTCCTTGTGCCACTGTTGTCCATGTGACATTCCTGAAGGTGGGAGAGCAGAGCCAGGCACAGATGGGCAGAGGAGTCTCACTTGTGGGGTGTTTTCCGTGGAGAGGCTTTTCCTGAAACACCTCTGAGATCACAAGTCCATTTTTTGTGGCCACTCACATCAGTTTTGCACATTAGGAGGTGATTTATTAATGTCCCCATGTCCCTCTGTCCTTTCCAGCTGACAAGCTCCCACCTCAAAGCAGAAACTCTTTTTACCCCCAAGTGGGGTCTTGGTCTTTGTGCTGTTATCAGAAAGGGTATTAAATTAAAATTAAAATTAAAATTAAATGTATCATTTTTGAATGTCCACCCTGCCCCTCTGCCTGATGATTTGTCCTTTTGGGGACCCATCATTTACCCCCAGCTGCTGCTGTCAGGGGTCACGTTTTAGAAATGCCATTTTTGCTCTTCAGTGCAGATTTCCTCAGATTTTCTGTCCTTGCCAGCTCCCCAGCCTTGGCACTGACCTTCTGTCCATGTGCTCAGTCCCTCTCCTCCCTTATCCTATGGGATAATCATCTGTTGCCAATTACAATCAGAAACAACGAGCTCCCAGGCCTGTGTTGTGTTCTCATTATCTCCCTTGTCTTCTCATTGTATTCTCATTATCTCCCCTTGGTGTTGCCCTTGATGAGCAGTGATGCAACACAGAAACAAAATTATTACTTTTATTATTATTCTTCATACCAGCAGAAGAAAATTACTTCAACATTTAGACCTAAACCTTGGGGCAAGGTTACCATTTTGGGGATGCATTTGGATATTTCAGGAAACATCTAATTTCGAGATGAATTCTGCAATTACCTCAAAAGTCGTAATGAAGTTTTTGTTGTTTATTGCCAGTAACAAAGTTGAGCAGAAATAATTTTTTATGTGCAAACTGGCTTGGTTTGTGTTCTATTTTCTATTTATTTATTTATTTATTTATTATTCTTTTATGTTTATACTCTTTTATATTCTTCAGTTCCAGGAGGGAGCTGAAGGCTGTTGAGTGTACCTGGGCAGGTACACACCGTGGGTGTGTTTCCCTTGGCTGCACATCCCAGCACCCATCTCTGTCAAAGTCAGGAGTGACCTGGGATCTGTGGTTTGTCCCAGCTGTGGGTTTTGGTGTCACTCTGCACCCACAGCATCCCACAGGGACACGAGCTGGGAGCGTGGCCTCGCAGATAAGAGTGTCCATGGGCTTATCTGCAGCTTGGGCTCTTATCTCTGCCACGTTCCAGAGCTGATAAAACACAAACCATGGTCAGCCTGCTCTTCCTGGAGCCCTTTGCAGAGGCATCACTGCATCAGTTCCTTCAAATTTTCATTCCCCAAGCTCTTGTCTCTATAAACACCATTCTTTGGAAGTGAATTTTCCATTGCTTTCTTTTGATACTGAGACTTGTCCGGGTGTCCTGCCATGCAGCCACAGGGTACACACCGTGGAGGGAGTGTTCACAAAGATAAATCATCATCTTTGGATTTCTGTGCTCGTTCTTTGTAGTTACTATAGAAGAAATCTCTTCTGGAGAGGGATTTTACAAAGGCTTCAGTGCATTTGCCATCTCCAGCACCTTCCTGTGACGTGGAAGGCCAGAGCCAGGCAGGGCTGGTGTCTGTTCTGACTTGGGTTTGCTCAGTTCACCTTTCCTGAGCAGATCCCATCTGTTCCTGGATCCATCCCATTGTCACAGGACAAGTGGGAGCTTTGGGCAGCCCTGCCTTAGCCTCACACTTCAGCAACAATTTAAATTTAAGGACTCCCTCTGGCCCACGTGCTCTAGTGATGGCAAATGAGGTGTCTTTATAAAATGAATTATTTATTAAACAGGCAGGAAATAACAGATGGAAGATCTTAAGCCACAGTATAAATGAAGAACTCCCAGCAGATTCCAGCACAACACAAACACTGCAGGTATCAAGACACCTGTGTTAAAGTGGCAAAAGAATCAGCATTGATCTGGAGTCAGATAGATAGATTATAGATACAGAATGATTGCTAATAAAAACAGTTTGAGTGACGAGGTATAGCATTAAATCCAGAGTTCATGGTAGCTGAGGACAGCCCAAACAAATAATTTTATTGTATTGTTACCAGTCTGTGTGGATCAGGATGTTCCCCACCCCTTGAGTCTTAAAAGTCATAGGAAAGGTGGGATGCAAATCAGGATCAAGGAAAAGTTCCTGGAGTTTTATTTTCAGCTGGAGTGATTGGAGGAGTTCAGTGATGGGTCAGTGACTCCCTTTGGTTCCATTCATGGTTCTTAGTCCAGGGCTCCTCAGTGAAGTTCAGCTAACCTGACCAAATGTGTATAGAACAATCTGATTATGGCCTCGGGGGAATCCAAGGTGGAATGAAACTCAAATTGTTCCCACCTACTGCAATGGGGAATTTTATATCTTAGCCTAGGAGATAGGAAGAGGTGCACAAAACTGATCCCATATTCATATGAAAATTCAAGTTTCATTCAGGGAAAATCTCCACCCCCTGTGACAACCAGAGTGAAGACACGAGCATTCTAAAGCAATAACTCATAGACACTGCAAATTACTGGGACAGACCAAAAGCAAATATTAACCCAAACAAATGAAAACTCCTGTGCTCTAGTACCTTAACAATACTGATCAAGATTTTACCACTGGGTACACTGGGCTGTCTTTCCTTCCAGAAGGAGCATCACTCCATCTGGAGGAGGAAAATGTGTTTGGTGTGGAATTCCCATCATCCACATATTTTCATTGAATGAGTGGGAAACTGAGAAGAAACCCAGCAGTTGCTGTTGTTATCAGTGTCAGCTTGCAGGAGCTGTGGATGGGAATTTCTCTTCCAAGGCTCAGGTACCATTGGTTCTGTATGTGCTGTATTACAGTGTAATACAGGAAAAACAGCACTGCTGCTTCCC